CCCCAAAACCCCAAAACCCCAAAACCCCTATCTCTCCCGTCAGATTGAAATCAATTACAAACTTTTATAAGGAATTATTGGAGGATGGTCTTGCTCAATGTTCTGATATTTAGTATTTTGCCTTGAAGGAACTACTGGAATAAACCAAGTCCAGCCATTTGTACCAAAAATCACCTAAAAATAATGAAAAAGAAGCCTACTTCAAAGTTTTTCCTTCATGTATTCTCTCTAAAAGGATTATTTCCTTTGAAGGAGCCAGCTTCAATTGTAGTCTCATTTACTCAAAGAAGGTAGATGTGGACTCAGAGTAGGAGACCTACTGCTCATGTGACAGCAAGAGAGATTCCACCACAGATAAGGAAATGAATATCCGAAGATATTTTATCACTATCTTCCTTGTCTTTGACTACAAAGATTGCAGTCAGCATTCCTGCTGTTGAAATAATTCCGGAAGTTCAAGCATAGACTAGAAATAGTACAAAGTACTTGTGGTTATCAAGTCCAACTCAGTTGCCTACCCAAGGTCAATGATGGTCCATCCTAAGAATTCATTTCTGGCATGTTGATCAATGATGAGCTCTGGGAGGTTTGATATTATCACAAGATTTACAATACCGAAACTTAGCATGCCTCGAAACATTTTCCGATTCAGAGTTTCTAATATTTCTTTCCACTAGAGGCTCATTCTTCTCCTCTTTAATACTAAAATTTAATGTCAGCTTCGTCTCTTCATTATTTTGAAGTATGGTAGGCTTATACTCCCCTGGATTACTCTCAAGATCGTTTGGTGTGCCATCTCTTTGCCTTTCAGGCATTCCTTGAGATTCTTTTACCACATTTTCATAAACTTGAGGATTCTCCTCTTTGAAATCCTTTGAAGGATGTCCAGGAGGAGTACATAATATCCTTCCGTATGACCAAGTTCCCATAATCATGCTCAAATTGAACGCTATTCCAAAGAGAACAGTAATAACCATTCCTAAATAATTTGGTGCGCTTGACAAGAACCTAAAGTTAAATCCATACAAAGTGTATCCTATCAATGCCATTGTCAATACAGAAGGCCCTTTAATAATAATAAACTGTGCTCATACTCCTCTTTTACTCATTTTCAATAATTATACTAAAAAGAGGGGTTTTGGGGTTTTGGGGTTTTGGGG